GAAATGATGGCTGAGGAGCCTGCTGGGGATCAGAGGCAGATTTAGCAGCAGAACAAGCAGCTCTTTGTGCTGCTTCTTAATCCGGTCCGGACCCGGTTCTGCCTCCACTCAGCTCAATTATTTCTGGAGGCCAATTTCCAATCTGCACCTTGGGACAATAAAACTGCCTCAAAGCAAAAGGGGGGCGGGGAGTTGTCTCAAATGACCGCTTAGTTCAGAAAAATAAATAAAAAATTATATATATATATTTAGATGAAAATCACGTTAAGAAAAAGAAAACACGCAAACAAGACTGAAGTATTGAGCATGGGTGCGCGCGCATTTGCGTAAGAGAGAGAGAGAGAGAGAGAGAGAGAGAGAGAGAGAGAGAGAGAGAGAGAGAGAGAGAGAGAGAGAGAGAGCAGGAGGGAGGGCTCTCAGCGCAGACTTGGGTCAGAAGTTTCTTCTAATTAGCCAGTCTTCTCCTCGCCTGCCTCACTTGTCCACCCTGCAGATCAGCATCCTCTTCTCAGGGACCAGAGGACCGGCGCGTGGGCCTCCAGCACCCAGAACCTCATCCAGCCTCCATCAGTGCGCGCAGGGGGGACGAGCTGCCATTACGCACCAGCTCCATGGAACAAGCAGACATCTAACTTAGTCAGCTTCTAGTGCTTTGAATTTGGAGGTTATTTAATTAACAGGTGCATTTATTTTAAAAAAAATTCTTCTTAATCTTATTATTAATTTAAGTTTTAAATCAGAAGTGGAGAAACATCAGGTGAGGATTATCCTCTAGATCTACCAGAACCACAAGTCAGAGAAGCAAACTGAGGCAGGAAAAAAAGGTAAAACATCATCTGAGACAAAGAGAGAGAAAGAGAGGGAGAGAGAGAGAGAGAGGGAGGGAGAGAGAGAGAGAGAGAGGAAGGGAAAAACAGAGAAGAGAGAAAGAAGGAGACAACCCCCCCGAGAGAGGTTTGGAGAGGCGTCCCCCGGCCCGACAGAAGGAGAGAGAGAGTGAGGGAGTGTTTTAAAGCCGGCAGGAGGCATGATGTCCTACATTAAGCAGCCCCATTACGCCGTGAACGGGTTAACGCTGTCCGGCCCGGGCATGGATCTGCTGCACACCGCCGCCGTGGGATACCCCAGTAAGTAAACCCATCACACCTCCACATTCTGATGCGCTCACAGACACAGCTGCTTGGTTTAAACATGACTGCTGCAGGAAAGGATTGGAGCAAAGGTTTGTGCGTAAAAGAAGATTTTACGCACATTTGTTTTTCTTTAGAATAATCTGAACTGGCGTTTAATTACTCTGAGGTTCTGCTTGATTCTGCATCAGAACCGAGTCTCAACTGATCCATAGGTTCAGAGGATTAAAGAGTCAGAAAAAAAGAGGCGAAAACAATGAAGATGTGTGTGTGAACGGAACCCCAGGCTGTTCTCACACCGAATTAAAACCCAATCTGCTGCTTTAATCTTCTAACCTATTTACTCTAACACTTATTGTCTTTTATAGTTATTAATATTGTTATTATTCATGAATGAACTCTTTTTGTTTTTCATGTTCAGCAGCTGTCTGCCTCCGCTCAGGAGTTTAAATTCAACTTTTATTGTCGGCACAAAGTGATACCTCAGATAAACAAAAAATGTTAAAAAAAAAAAGAAAACAAATTTCGTTGACTTGTTTAAATTGTTCGACCTGGAGACTTTATATGTGTCAAATAATAATAATAATAATAATAATAAATAACATTTCTATATTTGAATTAATTCGTTTCTCTTTGTCATGGTTTTACGTTTGGAAAATCAAACGGAACAAATCCAAGAGGAATCGGGAAAAACTGAATATTGACACCATTTGTAAATGGAATATATATATA